CCTATGCAAACCAATTATTTTATAAAAAAAAATATACCAAATTCCTCTGTCCAGGTACTTATCAGATAGAATCCTTTTTGATACTGAACCCTGGAGTTGAATTTCTTCTAACAAATATTTTGTTTAAATTCAAAAATCGAACAATATAGTAAACTTATGATGAACGAGTTCCTAAACACCTTTTTTAATTGAAACATGAAGCGTGACAACGGTATATTAAAAGAGCGTAAAAAATACTTACCTACATAAAAAAAATAATTTACACCCGGCTTATTTTTTACCCGTTCTTAAAACAGTTTAGTCTATTACCGCCCACGCCTTAATTTTCAATAATACGTACGTATTTCACATGTCAGTGATTTGGAAAAGTTTTTACTAATATTGTTTGTATTTTGTTTTTATTTCAGAAAATATGCTATGCAGTACAACCCCTTCATTACTAGCACCTTAATACCAAAATAGCATAATGCGCTTAGAGGACGTAATATTTACTATTCTAATACAGTAACAGCAAACAAATAAAATGATACTATGGTGAAGTGTTCCTATACTGAATAAGATTATCCGTTATCCGTGCGATGACGGAGAAAGAATACCACTCACCGCCCCTTCACTTCCCGCGGGTGTCGTAAGAAGCGACTGAGGGATATCAGAGCTTCCATCTGCTCTTCTGGTAGTAGGGTGCCTAACACCCGCCTGGTTTGTTACCACCGTACGCATGGTGAAAAACCCGTGAAGTGCTTCACGCGCGTTTCGGGATCAGCCAGCGTACAACCAGAGCTCGAGTGGAGATTGCCGCGACAGATTCGGTCCAGTGGAGGCATCCGTCGAACCGATGCCGGGAGGACTGCATCGACCCACCGGCCAGGGAGACCCGTCGAAACGGCTGTCTCGCTGGCCGCCCGTGGCACAGTACAGGGGCCCGAGCGTTCCTAACCAGTTCGTGAGGCTGCCCTATCATGTCACGCATAATCTCGGGGTGGACCGTCGTGCCGGTTGGTGACCGGGGCGTGGGGTCCCGGCGGCCACTCCCGGGAGGGTGCGGGAGCCCTTCCGTCCGTTGGGTCGGCGTATCTCTTTCGCAGGCAGTTACTCGGGAAAACGTGCCTCCATATATTTGCCTGTCTTTGTCGCGACTAACTCCACTCGATTCACGTCTCTCAACTTTTTTCTCATGATGGCAGCCCGTAAAATAAAGTTTGGTTGTACAGCGGTGCACACCTCCACGCCTTCCGCGCTGTTTGAGGTTGAGTTCTGTAATATACGCGGACTCCACTCTAACCTCAATGCTGTCTGTCCACCACCATCTTGAGACAGCACGGCCAGCACTATTGTTTCTCACGGAGACACAAATACTTCCACCCGCTGACACAGGCTACCTTAAATATCCCGGCTACGTGCTTGAAGAATCCTTCAAAGCAAAAGCCGGCGTATGCCTGTATGTTCGGGCGGATGTTTGTTGTCGCCGTTTGAGCTGCCTGGAAGACCCCTCCTTTTCCATGTTGGCGGTACATATAGACTCTGGTCTTCAGGCCAGAGTCTACGTGTGCCTCTACAGATCTCACACCGGCGACGCTGAGACAACTCGACTGTTTGACCACCTCAGTAGGGTAGCAGATGATGCCCAGGCGCAATTTCCCAACGCAGAACTGGTGTTTTTGGGAGACTTTAACGCCCACCACGGTTTGTGGCTTGGCTCTTCCAAAACTGACCATGCAGGGATCTCTGCCCATGTTTTCGCTCTCACGCATGACTTGACCCAACTGGTTGATCAGCCCACCAGGATCCCAGATATAGCAAGTCAAGCGTCTTCTTTACTAGACCTTCTGCTTACGACCCATCCGCAGGAGTATCAGGTCGTGGTTCGAGCCCCGCTGGGTTCATCAGACCATTGCCTGATATCTGTCAAGGTGCCACAGGGCAAAACCCCTCGACCATTAGTGGTCAAACGCAGGGTCTGGCACTATGGGTCGGCAGATTGGGATGGTATGCGCGATTACTTTGCGTCCGTTCCTTGGAAGCAGCGCTGCTTCAATGAAAAGGACCTATCATCCAGCGCCGTTGCCATTACTGAGGAGATCGTAATGGGAATGGAGTATTACATTCCACATTCTGATCTCATCAGTAAGGGCACACGTAACCGCTGGTTCAATCGCGATTGTGCCGATGCTGTTTCTCGTAAGCAGGCGGCATATCGCGCTTGGATCAGAGGCCGCGCTCTTAAGGATCCCGGGGTTAACTCACTGAAAGCTGCCTATAATAGTGCTTCCAAGTCTTGTAAAAAGGCTTACATCAGAGCGGATGCCCAACGTGTAGCACGTACTGCCCACGAATTTTTAAGGCACCCTACGGGCTCCCGTAGTTTTTGGCGTTTGGCTAAGGCCGTGCAACACAACTTTTGCCAGCCCTCGCTGCCACCTCTGCGATGTCCAGATGGGTCACTAGCTCATGAGCCGCAAGAGAAAGCCGATTTGTTGGCAAAGCTCTTTGCGGCTAACTCCCGAATCAGTGATTGCAATGCACTGCCACCTACACTACCTCATTGTGGCACTACGATGCCTGACATTAAAATCAGGCAGCGTGATGTTCGTGCGGAGTTGCAATCACTCGACGTCCGGAAAGCTAGTGGATCTGATGGCATCCCAGCAGTTGTTCTTAAACATTGTGCAGCGGAGTTGTCTCCCGTGCTTACGCGCCTGTACCAACTCTCTTACTCTTTGGGGCGTGTGCCTTAAGCTTGGAGAGACGCCAATGTGCAGCCGGTGCCCAAAAAAGGGGACCACTCAGACCCGGCCAACTATCGGCCGATAGCTGTCACCTCAGTGTTGTGTAAAGTCTTAGAAAGGGTCCTTAACAACCATCTGACCCGCTACCTAGAAGATTACTCTCTGATTCACGATCGTCAATACGGATTTAGACCGAATCGATCGACGGGTGACCTTCTAGCGTACGTGACACACATATGGGGTGAAGCTATAGACAAGCGGGGAGAGTCTCTGGCTATTAGCCTTGACATCGCCAAGGCTTTTGACAGGGTCTGGCACAAAAGCCTTCTCTCCGATCTGCCCGCATACGGTCTGCCTGATCAGCTCTGCGCCTGGGTAGCTGACTTCCTGCATGAGCGTAGAATTCGCGTCCTTACGGACAGATGTAGTTCACAGTTCATGTCAGTGAATGCCGGTGTTCCTCAGGGCTCCGTTCTATCCCCCACACTCTTTCTGCTGCATATCAATGATTTGATTCCACTTGCGAATATTCATTGCTATGCGGACGATAGCACAGTGCATGCGAGATACTTTGGACACGCTGCGGCTGGAAAGGTAGAAACCATGGAGAAACGGGAGAATCTTGTCGTTGAGCTCAATCGGGCTTTGGACCACATTTCCGAATGGGGTACCAGGAACTTGGTTGAGTTCAATGCCAAGAAAACTCAGGCTTGCGCTCTCACGGCAAAAACATCGCCATTCCTTCCCCTTCCCTCTCTTCAGGGCACAACACTGGCGCTACAGAGCTATATTACCATGCTCGGTATGGAGGTTCGCTCAGACCTGAATCCAAAGGACTACATCGAGACCTTGATCAAAGCAGCTTCACGCAAACTCGGAGTCCTGAACAAGGTGCGGCGTTTTTTCACGCCCGATCAACTGTGCTTGTTGTACAAAACGCAAGTGCGGTCCTGCGTGGAATATTGCTCGCACCTCTGGGATGGCTCCGCTAAGTACTTACTCGATGCCTTGGATAGGTTGCAGCGGCGCGCTGCCCGCATCATTAGCGATGAAGAGGTAAATAAGAAACTCGAGTCTCTACAATTACGCCGTGATGTGGCATCATTAAGCGCATTCTACCGACTATACCACGGCGAGTGTTTTGAGGAGCTATTCTCGCTTATCCCTCCATCACCTTTTCTTCAGAGGACCACGCGCGCTGGCCTACGTTGCCACCGACTTACTGTGGCCACTATTCCTACACGAACAAAGAAATTTGGCGACTCATTTCTTTGTCGTACTATTCGTAAGTGGAATTCTATGCCCGCGCACGTGTTCCCTCCTTCCTATAATCTGGGGTCCTTTAAGAGAGGCGTGAAGAAGCATTTTTGCGGGCCGGCAAGGTGAGGATGGTTGGTGTAACAGTTTATAACTGCTGTACCAGCTATCTTCGCGTTTGGACTTTATCACCACTTAACATCAGGTGGGGTAGAGTCATTTGCCTACCTAATCATATAAAAAAAAAAAAAAAAGAGCCCCAAAAAAAGTTGCCGGGGTATGAGAATATTGTTCAAGTTGCCAAAGTGAAGATGGCTAACAGTATGTTACTTATTTCTTGTTTTGATTGAACTCGCAATAAAGGTATTCACATAAAATTTTATATGAAAAGTCTAAAATTTCACTAACGCACTTTCAGAATAGGCCCCTTGAACGTAATGTACACGCGTCCCCACGCGATTCAGAACGGAATAGGAACGAATTCATCATTAATGCGTCCTTCCGTAGGGGCGCCCCTCTCCCCTCACATCCCACGTTCCGTTTCTCGCGAATTACGGCAACAATTAAACCCGGTCGAGTAACTCGCACGGTGAGTAGTGCACTCACAACTTTTTCTCAACCGGGTCACGCCACAAATAGTAGTGTAGTAGTGATCTACTCGGTTTTAATATTTCAAGTTACGAGTGCCGACAGCTTGAATTTTTCAAAACTTACGGACGCTTTTGTCCGAGCGACACGGGAAATGAAAAGTAGGTATGTGTAACCGCTATGTTGCGGGCCAGTGAAGTGGAACGCTGCCTGGAAAGGTGCACGAATGAATTATGAAAAGGTTTAGTGCCTATATATTACACGTATTCTACGTAGTTGATTTAGTTTTGGTCTGACTTATGTTGTTTAAACTGACATAAGTTAATATTTTTTAACATTTGATGGTTTCCTTCTCCGCAGGAATTTCAACTATTAGGTACCTAATCTTCTTGTGTTTCTTTTTTAACAAGAAGCGTCAGGTGATCTGACAAACATTCGAAAGCCTCCTAACTGGAGACCAAATCTTGTGATGCCAATTACAACTGATTTACAGTGTGGTGGCGATAGTGCGTTGCGTGTTGTAGTTTATTGCATACACAATAACCGCATAAATCTGTCTGTGACAGTACCATTAGCCGACTCCTTATAGTAAGAGAGCCTCTATTATTACGGAAACTATCTCCTGTAGCGTAGATGTAAAGGTCATTCAGCGGTCATTTTTTTACTCCACAATCAAATAAAGCGAAGCGAGTGGGTCAACTAATTCTGAAAGTTAAAATTATGTGCCTATGCGTAAAAACAATTAAAAATTTTTGCTTGTTTCCGATTTTAATCTTTTACATATAATTTTAGGACATTGCATTTTTTTATACTTATTTATCGTAACGCACATTTGTTTGCTTAACGACGTACTTTAACCACTACACACAGTCCAGATAGAGCCAAAGGTTATTCGATAAAGGAGGTTTTACAATTCGACCCTCTTTTGACCTCTTTGGCATGTGTGGATTGTGCGGTGCTGTGCATAAGAATGTGCTCATTAATTTAATAATAAAATAAAATATTTTATAACTGAACTTTATTTGCCAGTACCAGTTGCAAGCTCTGTTTTATTATTATTATTAATACTATGAGAGAGAGCTATTATAATCGATGTTTCTATTGAATATTCACAACAATTCTGCACAGATAAAACTCTTTTATGTTGTCAGCATCAGAAATATTTACAGCATTCGAATATAGGGTCATCGCTGTCAAGTTATTTATTAATAAATTCTGCGACTTATTAATTGTGCTACTTATTATTCTTTTTCAGCTTCAATTTTTATAAAATAAGTCACTACAAACTAACTACTAAACTATTTATAAATTTAATAACTATAATCCATGATCGCAATTCTGAGTATTGGTTGGATTCCATTTAAAGGAAAGGATAATACCTTTTAATTATATGATATTATATTAATTTAAAAATACCTATATTTTATTGTAACTACGTAACTTGAGAAGGGACAAACGTAATGAATATTTTTTTTAATAATGCTTGCTTACAGCACATTTAAAAGTATTAATGCTAAATTCAATAATTTCAGTAACCCAGAATAACTATAAATGATATATTGTTGTAAACTTTTACTAAATTAAAAGTTATTAATTAAAAGAAAACTTTATACTCAATATTGCACTAACTATACATACCTACTTGATATATTATGTCACCATCATCAGCCTATTAATGTCCCCTCTGCTGGGGCACAGGGCTTCCCTATGAATGGAATAGGGAGATTGGGCCATGACCCACCACGCGGGCCCAGTGCAGATTGGCGGGTGCTAACGACTGCAGATGCAGCCGGGACCAACGGCTTAAAGTACCTTCCAAAGCACGGAGGAACTCGAGTTAGAAGTTTTTTGGTCACCCATCCAATGACCGACCATTGCGAAAGTTGCTTAACTTCATCGATCGCAGCCGAACGCGCTAACCACCTGCGCAGTCAAGCTCCTTGTATAGATAGATATATTATGTATATATGTTCTACTAGCAATTGGAACTACATCTATAAGCAGTGCCGTCTTTGACTTGATTGGAGGATTTGATTTTTTGATTTGATTTTGATTAATTGGAGGCCCTGGGCATATTAGGATAATGGCGTCCCTATGACTGCCGTTTAGTGATTTACAGGAACTAGGGACTTTGTATTTGATCTGAGGGTGCCCCCAATCGATCGCAGGGCCCTGGGCACTTGCCCAAAGTGCACACTGGGAAAGACGAGTCTGTCTATGTGAGCATGTTTCTTGAATAAATAAATAATAAAAGCTTTTGGCGATAACCCTGGCTCCCTCCAGTGGCGCGGCCTGATGGTGCATATTTCTTATTTGGACTTGCTCCAACAATCCTGTGGGAGACTATTTGCTTATTCATGTACTTATGTGCGTTGTCCTTTCATACAACAGCAGGATACAATACGCCTGAACTAGGTATGAATATAAATTAAGGGGCAATTAGGAATTTGAATAAAGACGTAAGCTTCATTGTTGGCGATGGAAACGGCATTATAGGCATTTGAATGTACAATTTTAATAATGCAGTATTTTTTGCACTTCCTTCTCATCCTAAGTAAACGGAACACAAAAACGAAAATCATGCCTATAAGTAAATGTTTCTACATTTTACATACAAATTTATGCTGATCTAATGATGAATTATAATGAGTAGTGAGAGGGTTCCGTAACTCAATAGAAAAAAAAGGAACTCTTATAGGTCACTTTGTCCGTCTGTCGCTTAAAGTCGACGGTCCCTTAAAGATGTGATTTTTTTTCTTCTAAGTTGACGTTAACATAAAAATGGACCGGGTGGGATTTATTCTAGTAAATTTTTCTTTACTTTTATAAATCTAGTAAGAACTTAAATGCCTAAAATAAAAATATTACATCACACTAATATTATAAAGGCGAAAGTTTGCGAGTGTGTGAGTGTGTATGTTTATTAATGTATTTGGTTTGGTATGGAGTTAGCTGACACCCTGGACTAAATATCCCTAATAAGGCGCGGGCAACAACGCAGGGCACAGCTAGTGTAAAATTATTGTAACATGTTAGTTAAAACACACTACTCACCTTTTGGAGCCGTTGTTATATTCAAGATCCTAAGACGCCCGACCTTACTTATTTTCTCATGGACAAAATATGTATAATTGAGCCAGTATTAGTGTGTACAATGAACGTATACATACTCGCTAACCTGTGCAGTGGGCCAATTTTCAGGTGTCAGGTGGCACAGGCACGTAAAAATTTGACTCACTTTACTTACAGTCTGAGGACTGATTCTTACGTATGTTGTACAGAATATTGTAAACAGGGGCGGATCTTGAATTTGTGGAGCCCTGGGCTAATACTGCTTAGGGGCCCTGCCTAATTACTCAACTAATTGCCATTTTGACAAGAAACTGTTTTCTGTAGTGATGTAGGTATATGTAATGTAATATATGTTAAGTACAGGAAGAAAATAGGAAAACAAAATATTTTACTTATTTAATTAAAACATTATTTATTGCAAAATAAATTGACAGGTTATAAAATGGTTATGTTATATAACTTATAAAGCTACCTTTCTGCATTTTTGTGCTGCAAATTCTTTTATTTGGTCATCGCACTGTAGGTCCTTTGTTAAATCGCAATTTACCGAAAGAAATGATAAATGATTTAGTGGATAGTTCGACATTGTTGTCCTGTATTTGTTTTCGATATACGACATCCTGGAGAAAGAACGCTCTGTATCACAGATAGTGATCGGCATCGTTAAAAGAATCTTTAAGATGTTATAGCAGTTTGGGAAAACATCAACAAGTTTCTTTTCATAAATTAGGCAAAAAATTTCACTGCAAGAGGTGTAAGACTCTGTCTTACACAGTGCAGTAAGTAAGATTTCAACTGAATGCACTCATTCACTAAATGTTCGTCTACGTCATTTGGATAATAATCAATAATATTACGTACACTTTCCAGATCTATGTGTTCTTGATTTTTGTCTTGCAAATCCATTACATTTTTTTTATATAGGTCTCATAGGCTTGGCTTCTATTATTTAAATCCATAATCCGTTTACTGAGACTTTATCTGTAGATTTATATGAAAATTTTGAAGTAATGCGTCTCTTATTTATGTCACTGTAGTCTGTTCCTATACTAGTACTTATTTTTTTTAGCTTTCTCTTCGTATTCCTTTAGCTTCTGATCTGATTGTTGATCTGATTTTTTCACGAACTCTTTTAATGACACAATTAACTTATTGCCTTCACCAATGTCTAAACCAGGGCTCTGTACTTTTTTATTAACTACATTAAATCTCACCACAATTTCTTCCCAAAAAACAATCAAAATTGAAGTTTCTAGATTCGCCAGTTTATTAAATAAATTTCGTGCCTCTTTTCGGAAATCAACTTTTTCATCGTCATTTTGAAACTATTGAGAATTTTCATATTGCCATCATAATTACTTTCACACCAAAGCTCTGACAGCATCAAAGTGACAAGACCATCTGGTCTGGCCTCTGAATAAGGAAACCTAGGTCTGGCTTAAACTTTTTAACGTAAATTTTAGTTTTGTTTATGATTTAACAGTTCCCACCTATGGGTCGAAGCAGAGAAGAAAACGTATATTTGTTGCACTATTCCAAAAAAAGTTACTATTTCGGTTGCAACCTTCACTGATTCTTGACCAACTAGGATAAGGGAATGCGCAGCAAATGGCACGTAACCCTCGGTTTTTTTTTCTTTTTGTAGTGCTTGTACACCATTGTAGATTCCGGCCATATTAGCAGCGTTGTCATATGACTGTATCCTGCAATTATCCAGTAGTAAGTAGTCCATTTGTTTCCAAAAAGGCTTCTAGAATATAAAATAAATATAAGCCAGTATGAATACTAATTTTAATGAAAGATACACATCTTTCATACACTTTTCTCCGAAAACAGTATCGTAATACAAAAGCAAGTTTATCATCGTGAGACAGATCTGGAGTTGAATCCATCATAATTGAATAATACTTTGTGTCGTCGTTATTTATTTCAGTTATAATATGTTTAATTACTTGTTTACCCATAATCTCAATTATTTCCTCGTATACTATTTTTGATAAATATGATATTACAGGGTTTGGTCGCAGCTCTCGTTGTTCAATATGTTCACGTCTGAATGGGTCAAATTCTGCCAATAGCTCTAGAGCACTCATAAAATTACCATTATGCGGAGAACCAAATACTTCCTCGGGACCTCTAAGTGCTATGCCTCTTATACTCAAAAATTTTAGCACTGCAATAACCCGTTTTAGGGCATTGTGATAATATTCTGTTTCTTAATTTAATTGCTGCTTCTTGTCTAAAACAGACTTATTTTCTTTTCGTGTCAACCACATGTCATTTAAAGTTCATTAGAATTTTCGTGATTTTCTAAACAAAATCCTGTGTGTTTCCAATCAGAAAATCCGGTTGTGTATTGAGAAGGAGTTTTAGAAAAAAGTTTGCAAGTCACACAAAAAACAGTACCAATTCTTTTTGAACAACAGAACCAAGATCTTTCCAGTAATTAGCCATTTTTCATTTTTCTAGTGAAATACCTATTTGAAAAAGATCTGTTTTGTTCTTTATATGTCTTCATTGAATATATATTCTTCGGATCTTTATTTTAAAAGTCAGTCATTTCATGTGATGGGACGAAATTAATAAAATCATTATTTAGCAAATCTGGCCACAAGCCCACGTCAACATATTTCTCAAACTCAAACTTAATATTTTCTAAATTTCTTGCCACCTCGGTATCGGTATTATCTTCCTTTTGCTGAACACCAATTTCGTTTACAGAGGAATGTGCAATATCTTGACTTCCTTTACTTACAGTCTGAGGACTGATTCTTACGTATGTTGTACAGAATATTGTAAACAGGGGCGGATCTTGAATTTGTGGAGCCCTGGGCTAATACTGCTTAGGGGCCCTGCCTAATTACTCAACTAATTGCCATTTTGACAAGAAACTGTTTTCTGTAGTGATGTAGGTATATGTAATGTAATATATGTTAAGTACAGGAAGAAAATAGGAAAACAAAATATTTTACTTATTTAATGCAACCCTCTGGGGGGCACATTTTTATCGTTGGTATTTTTTTTCTGGTTTTTTAAATCTTGCATATTTTCATCACTTGTATTTTTTTCCTGGTTTTGTGATTTTTTGCTTCCTTCGGTTAGATTCTCTTCGCATAAAATACCTTCCTTTAGGATTTATAGCTATTTCATTCGGGAAATAACCTCTAATTTAAAAAAAAAAATTTTTGCGCATTTATTTCTTTCTTTTTCTCGACCAAACTGTAATTTTCTTTTTTCAGTTCCACTTTTATATTTTCTAGCAGACATATTGTAAAATAAGATATTTTTCTGAAAATAAACAGAGAACTGGATAGAACTTTTAATTTTAATACCTACTTTGTATTGAGTGTAGCAATTCACAAATTATCATTAAATATCGAACGAGTTCGATTCACTTAGTTTTGAAAACTGAAATAAAAATAAAAAGTCATGTTTTATAATTCTTTTTACTGACCTACTGTCTTTTAAAAGCAGGAAGTCTAGTTATGCTGAATACTTTCAATTTGAGTATATTAAAAGAAAGGTCCGGTCCTTATAAATTTTAAGTTATCTATCACTTAGTAAACTAAACACATGCACTTAACACATTTCTAACAATAATAAAGTCAATTTGTTAATTGATAGTCGACGATAGCAGAAGTGCGGTAAATTACCAAAATTGCGTCGGGAGATAAGCGGAAGGATGTCCCCAAGAATAGACAGTACACGGAATACACCGACCGAAAACAAGCGACAGGGAATTCCCCGTTCCGTTTGATAGATGCGCACACGGGTTGATTGATCGCAGTGTTGCCAACCTTATGATCGGTTTTTTTTTAATTCTAGATAATTTTTATTATTGGCAATATCGTCTTTTGGTTTCAGTTCGGTTGGGGGCCCTCTGTATTCGCGGGGCCCTGGGCTGTAGCCCAAAAAGCCTTTAGGTAGATCCGCCCCTGATTGTAAACAATGTGAAATTAATAGGTACTGCCAATACTATACAATATATAATACACACTCTGTCAGCAGTTTTTATTGTCAGACACTTTTAATATCGCAATTAAAGGTATAATTTGAGATTCATAAACATGTCTTGTCAAATGTCTTTTCTACGGATAGTTGTATGAAACATAACTATCTGTCCTTAGATTAATATTGTTATAAACATTCATGTTCACTATCATTAAAGTAATTTGTTATTTACGGAATTGCTAACATATCCCGTAAAGAAACATAAATTACTATAATATCCCTAGCTCATCAAATTAACAGCAAACATTCACCAAGACACAATACATAAATACAGTTCCCACCAACACTTACCCAAAGATTGTGTATAAGAAACTTTTAATGAAATGACTTCTCTCACCAGCAAACTAATTTATAGTTAAAAGAAAATAATTGAGATCGTTAAACGATTTTACGATCTTAAGCCCGGGAATACTGATTCAGTTAATCTATCTGTAGGTACTCAAGTACTGCCGCGCACTAGATGAATATAGCTAGGACACAGAGCATCCTCAGAAGAGACCGCATATAAGGACACCTTATATGCGGTACCACAGGACAGATGGGCGATTGCGCTGACCGGAGCTTGTTGGCGAGTATGCGAATCTCTTGGAGATTCACTTTAATCAACGTGGAGCGAATAAGCTCCATGTCGTCTACCAGGGAGCTTTTAGGCGCGGGGCTAGCGCTTGTGGCTGTGGTTATTGTGTTAGATTGTTACTGATTCCAATAATAGAATGGTTTGATACTACTAATATTAATAATCGAATCAAAAACAATCGATCGTTTAGTTGAAAGCAATAAATATTTACTAATTTCAGGATACTTCTAAAAGTGTCGATGGTTTGATGATCAGTTTGCCACATGAAATTAGGTATTTTCGTCAATGGATAGAGCTTATTTTTAGATGAGTTTACGGATATTCGAATATATTAACTAGTAATAATGAAGTTTGAATTGGAAAGAATATGACAATACAATACATTCTTCTTTACTTCACATTCTCTATGAAATTCGATTGATTTGTACGGTTATTCGATCAATATGAATGACTTTTCTACAATTGAATAATTCGAATAACGTTATTCATAATCGCTTATCTTTAGGCACCCGCTTGCGCCAAACCTAGGTAGTATTGCTACATATGCGTGTGATACGCCTCCATACGTCGACCAACGGTTCACCAAATTTGTCATCCAACCGTGACGACACATTGACGTGTCCAATAAAAACTCGGGTTGTCCTCGCCGTCCGCCAGATTTCGCCGCGATATCGATTTAAAACAAAATCGAGTTAGACGATTTTTACACTGCCCCGCTCTGCGTACATCATCATACAGATTTCACCGTACAAACTCGTGTTTCTCTGCGCACAGGCTCGTAACCTGCAACACTGCAGGTGAATGCGTTTTCTGTGCAGTTAGACGATTTTCACACTGCCCCGCTCTGCGTACATCATCATACAGATTTCACCATACAAACTCGTGTTTCTCTGCACACAGGCTCGTAACCTGCAACACTGCAGGTGAATGCGTTTTCTGTGCACTACGCATGTTTCAATGCAAAGAGATACTTTAAAGCAACATCAGAAAACGAACGCCACCGTTAAGTACGCAACGTGATGCGGTGCAGTGTGTGAATCGCTTAACGCGGATGTGGACTCCAGTGGGGGTGTTCTGTGCTAGGTAGTCGGCAAAGGTGGCGCCGGAGTGTTTTTATTACTTCTGGGAATATTGGATGGGAAGTGGAACAGACGATCTACCCTCGGGGCTTATTGATCTCAGCAAAGCCACCTCTTTATTGCCCCCGCTTGCTATTAAAGAGTTTTCATATGGGAACGATCACGTCGAATTAAAAATAAGCACCGAAGGTTTTTATACAAATATGTATAGCTAAGTCGCAATTAAACCGGATTAAAACGGATTTGATAGGCTCGATGGCGCAGTTGTATGTGTGTTCAGTGCGTGATAACGTATGTTAAGCCGTTTACACAGTGGCCGGTTGTCGGATGAGCGACCAAAAATTTGTATCTCAAGCTATTTACTGTGTGTTTCAAACTTGGATGTAATTGGGACAGACCCATAACGTCATCAATGATATAGGAATTACCTTGGCTTTCTTTGAAAACAACTGACAAATTGAAAACTTTACTTTTTGAAGTCAGGTAAAAATACCAAACAAAAGTGTTTGGTTGAAAAGGAACCCAATTTAAAGATAAATAGCCACCATGTTTAAACAGTTGAAGATACTCGTGGTAACCAAGTAACAAGTGCACTAGTGTGACAGTCGTCCGATTCACACACTCGGGCCCTATTCTCAGGGCGTCGACAACATCGAGATTGCGACATGCTTTGTTTTGTATCTAATCCGATTGTAGTTACATTCGCATCCTCACGTCCTTTAGTAGGCAAGACTATATATAATAAGCAAAACTTCGACGCTATGAAAGCTATGACGCTTTTTAAGGTCAATCGTTTGCTGTGTATTTTGGAATTCTTTCTTTTATTTTAGTACAAATACTTGAACTTTCTTGTCAGAGACAGATCTTAATGATATAATAATAAACATATTTAATTGACTGGCTGCCGGAGGGCTAATATTATATAATAATATTATATCCTGAAAAAAAACATACCATTTAGTTGATTCCAAATAAAAGGCAAACAGCGAAATTTTGAAAATATGTATGTGGGGTCTCGGTCGATATATACATAACTTCAAAGTACATTTAACATATTTAAAAAAAAAACTGCTTTGATCTCTCTCTTCTGAAATACACACACATATTTTTACCGTGACCCAGCCCTTTAAAATATTATTTAAAAGAAATAGGAGTTACATAAATAATGTGGCATGCAAATAAAAAAACCATAGAAGAATAGACTTTCAATTTCATCACATGAACGTGTGAATAGGATCCCTCGTGCTCCAAATGGGTGGTAATTAAATAATTAGCGGTATCCGCACCAGCAACCGCACCGCTCGTATAAGCACCTACAGCCGACCGACTAATTAACGGACACTTTCCAACTCCATTCAAAGCGAGAATTAAACTTTTTGGACTATGTCAGATTCTGAGGACGATACCACTCGAACAGATGGCACGAGTATTCTCATAATTATATCATCATGTATAAGTATGTTATCGCAGATTGATTTTATGTCTACAGCTCGATCAAGTCGAGCACATCATCGCCCGCATATTCAACATTTTTTTAAAAGTTTAATTCTTTTCAGTATTTTTTCTGGTTAAAGTGAGTCGTCGTCATGAGAATTCTGGCAGCAATATGTTAAGAAAAATAAACAAATTAAAAATATATATATATTTAAAAATATAAATATATATTTATTTAGCCTTTTGCATGGAGTAAGTAACCGCTTCGATTTACCTTAGGTTCGAAAATCGAAATCGAAAATCTTTACTACCAAAACACCAACGGAGCCATCGCAAATGTTGACCGAATTCCGAGCGATTATAAGCACACTTCTGCAGCTTAAAGTAGTATTTACAATAAGTGTTGCCATTCCACAGCCACTCTCATAACCGTCTTCACAGATCATCACATAAGAATCTATAAAATGCTGAACAGCTATCTTGGAACTTGCAACTTAGAAGATATCAACTAAAAAAATTAATAAACAAGGAATAAGCTTGGACTAGTTACGCCGTGTTTTGTTCATGTCACTCAAATGACATTTGTTATTCAATGAACAGAGACAAAACATGGAGTAACTAACCCAAGTTTATTCCTCTTTTATT